ATGTTATCAGATCAAATCGCTAGTGGATGAACACTTTTGCAGGGAAAAAGTACTGTATGGAGCGAGTTTACTATTTTCAAAGTACAGAGTCGCTCTGAATGACCCTGGGGCAGGACTGTGCTTTTTTAGGTACAAGCGACAGCTTCGGCGGCAGCCGCATCATCCACCTCAACGCCGCGATCCTCGGTGAGCGGAGCATCAGCACGATCGCACAATCGTGATAACAAGGTTCCGCTGAGCCACGTCTACAAGGTGATACGTTTCTACTCTTTCTGGAAGACGTGCACATCATTCCATCGCATCGTGACGATGATCGACCGGGTCACCGATGACCGAAACGTGAATCCGGACTTCAAGAAGCGTCTTTTTGTCCAATATTTGTGGCGAAACGCAAAGCCTGTGGAAAAGGCGCGGGTTCAAAAGGAGTTCGATCCTCGACGACAACGGCTTCTGCGATTCGTTACCGAACCTGGCTCCAGGAAGAGGTCTCAAAAGATATAATGTTGTGTGCCTTGCGTCCTCATACTATCGTTGTGAATAGAGATGAGGTGATTTCGAAATGCTGAAGTAAGACAGCCTGTATATTTTCAAAATCTCCTCATCTCTACTTTAGATGTTGTTCTCTATATATCCGCTGCTTCTTTTGCTTATCCTACACTGTCTTCTTCCAACGGGTTCATCAAACTCCGTTTTCAACACGGATCTCCATCGCTCAGGTTGCTACGAAATTTCTTCATTTCCATGTTCATTCCTTTTCTTAGATGTCACATTTACAACGTTCTACTTCGAATCTACCATCAAATCATTTATGTCTTTCTATTGTGTGCATGCAGCAGTCTCATTATTGCCTAACGTAACTTCTTCTAGGCGGCAGCCATGTTTATGCCGTTTTCAACTATTTCTGCTCTACTGCTGTTGCCATACGTGCGAATCTCTTTATTTACTGTTTTATATCGTGAATGTACAAGAAAATATACAATATCACACTATGTGGTATAAAATGTGCTATTCTATCTCCTTTTCCCTCTGATTATTGTTGAAGGCAGTGGCTCGGCAAATCCTCAAAGCATATTTCTTGCTTACCTAGGGTAATCCGCTGCGCTGATTTTGAATAATCCTTGGAAAACATATATGCATGAAATTTGAGCGAGCGGTTTCCATTGCCACCAGTTTCAAACATGGACGAGTGGACGCAAGCCACAACGAAGATGCAGAGTCGTTGCGGGACTCTTATGCTTATAGTACTGGGGCATGCGCGCTTGACGATGAAAGGGAAATCGTAAGGTGGACGGCTCAGAAATGGAAGCTGTGAGGGGAGATGGAGGCGCTGCCTTTCGCACTGGATTTTCGAGGCTTAGAAGTGGCACTGGAAGATCAAACTTGACTTAAGATCTTATGCGCCTCACAAGCTACTCTTTGCTCAGTTTTCGCGAAGGGACAGTTAGTTTAGTTAGTGGCGATTAATTACCCTTGTAATCAAGAAAGACGGCAGATTGAGCAGCAAGGAAATATTGTAAGCTGCCTCACACTCTGACATTTAACGACGCTGCGTTTTTTTCTTCAAATTTCAAACTTTGCATTGTCAATAATACAGCTTGTCCCAAAAAATGTGAACAATGTCTGATCGTTGATAATTCTCTTGCTATCATGTCTTTCGCCGAGCTTGACATTACGGTAGGGACTTTGCTAAGAATCTTTGGAAATTGAAGGCGATTTTTGTTTCAGAAAGAAAATTAAACGAGCCAGAAACTCTTGTACTGGACTAGCCAAAGTCGCTGATTCTAAATATGACATCTACACTTCACTGTAATGCTTGTTAAGTTATTTCAGGTTTAGAGGGCCACAAGTGTTTCTCCAATGTTCGTCAAAAGTGTGATTACACCATTA